AGGTTATGGGTCTGTTTTTTTTTTATTCTGCTTTTGATGTGTGGTTAATTCTACCCTCACAAGGTGAGGAGGGAAGTATTCCCTCCTTATCTATTTTCTAAAAGGGTTTATTTGTAGAACTGATATTACTTCTTCCTTAATTGGATTTGATTAACATAAAGTAATGAACATTCTTTTGTTGTTTTTCATAAGTGCATATTATCTATATTAATGTTCCTTATTTCATTCTTGATATTAGAGAACTGTGTTGTCTCTATTTTTTTCTTAATAAGTCTACCTATTGGTTTATAAATGTTGAAGATCTTTTCAAAACACCAGCTTTTAATTTTGTTAATGTTTATATTGTTTCTTTTCTATTTTGTTGATTTGTGCTCTTGTCTTTTGTTTTTAGCTTCTCTAGATGAATTTTAATCACTTTTTTCAAATAGCATTTAAAATTATTAATTTTTGCCCTGGCCGGTGTGGTTCAGTGGATGGGGTGCCATCCTGTGAACCAAAGGGTTGCCAGTTTGATTTCTAGTCAGGGCACATGCGTGGGTTGTGGGCCAGGTCCCCAGTATGGGGGTGCACAAGAGGCAACCACACATTGATGTTTCTGTCCCTCTCTTTCGCCTTTCCTTCCCCTCTCTCTAAAAATAAATAAATAAAATCTTTTTAAAAAGTAAAATTATTAATTTTCCTACAGGCATTGCTTTAGCTACAAATCACAAATCTTATGTGTCGTACAAGGTCTGTCCAGAACTTATCCAGCCTAGTAATATGAAAAATAAAGATATTTATTGAAAAAGATACAAGAAACATTGTACATGGACTAGAATGCCTCAGTCCCCTTCAAAGTAGGCACCTTGGGACCTCACACAGTTCTCCCAATCACCATCAGCTGCCCTGTTGTATTTACCTGAATTTCACTGATAGTCTGAAATCTCTTTCCCTTCCAAACATGATTTTAGTTTTGTGAAAAGCCAAAAGCCCACCAAATCTGGACTGTAGTGGGGCTGACTCACCTGGGTGATTTGATGTTTTACTAAAAAGCTCTGTATGAGACATGATGTGTGAGTGGATGCATTGTTGTGATGAAGGTACCAATTCCAGTTGCCCATAGCTGTGGTCTTCTAAATCATTCAAATAGTTTCTGCAGAGGAATGTTCAAGCTTAATGCAAAATCTGATGCAGGTTCCGTGTTTTCCTTGCTTAGTCATTTTGAATGGCACGGCTTTACAGTACACAGGCTCACTTACCAGCATCTACCGCCCCCACTGATGAGTGCAATGAAGTCGTCATTGTTCACACATGTGCAGTCCGGTCCACTCTGCTTGGCTGTCAGGTTACATCAATGTGGCGCAAACCATTCTCATGATATTAATAATAGCTGGGCTTTTCCCAGGCAGACCTCCTATTTTTGCTATCATTTAGGCAAAATAGTCTGTAATTTCTTTTTAAATTTTTCCTTTGACCAAATTACTTAAAAACATGTTTAATATCCAAATAATTGGGGCTTACTTAAATATCTTATTGTTATTGTTTTCAAACTTACTTCTGTTTTAATAGGACATTTTTGGTACAATTTCAGTTTTTAACATTTTTTTGAGACTTGCTTTATGGCCCAGAATGTGATTAAAGTTGGTGAATATATGATGTGCACTTGCAAAGAATGCATATTCTGCAGATGTTGGGTACAGAGTTCTAAAAACATCAATTAGGTTAGTGCAATTAGTAGCCATGTTAGTAATTATCTATTGCAATGTAATGAATTTCCCCCACACTTGGCAGCAGCTAGGGAATATGTATTTTAAAGACTATATTTATTTATTTTTAGAGAGAGAGGAGGTGAGGGAGAAAGAGAGGGAGAGAAACATCAATGGGAGAGAGAAACATTGATTGGTTGCTTCTCATACATGCCCCTATTGGGGACTTGAACCCATAACCCAGGCATATGCCCTGACCAGGAATTGAACTGGCAAACTTTGGCTTTGCTGGGCAACATCCAACCAACTGAGCCATATCAGTCAGTGTGGGAATCTGTATTTTAAAAGATACAAATACATTTACAATATAAATATTGATATTTTTTATTCCAATTTAGGACTCAGGGTTTTTACTTAAATTTATTCATTTTTACATTTATATCTTTTCTCTCACACTGAAAGACTGAATGATGCCAACATAATAACTTGTTTGATTTATCCCTCAACACATATAGAAGAGTTTGAGAATAAAAATACCAAACACCACTACCAACAATATGATTATTGAAAATAGTTTCTCTTTTGCATTTTTGTCATTAAGTTATGTTCCACAGAGGCATACAGTGAAGTTACTATGTTTTAAAAGTCATTTGGGTAGCTTCTCCATATGTGGTTATACAACCAGCTCTACATACAGTTAGGTTCATTTACATTGTTTTGCTTTATAGTCTTTGTGTTTACAAAAAGTTGGATTATGTTTTATCACTATGTAAAATGGTTATATGGTTCCAAAGTCAATTCCATAACATCAGGTATAGTCAGAGACTTCTTATTTCTATTCCTGTCCCCATTACATATTTTTTTAGTTTTGAAATTATAAGAACAAAAGAAACAAAACACACATACTTATATGTCTCCCTTCATGTCCTAGATTAACGGTAGCATACTATATGCACTTTTATCTATCCCACTTCTTTAACTTAACAATGTATCCTGGATGTCACTTCATAATTGTTTATGGAGCTATCCTTCATTCTTTTAAAGAGTTTCACTGTACTTCCTTTTGTGGATGTACCGTGGTTTAGACAACTAATCCCCTGTGAGTGGCTATTGGGTTATTTCTAGAAGTCTTGCCATCACCACATTGAATGAATAGTCTTGTGTATATAATCTTTTCATACTGTTGCCAGTGCATCTTTGGGATAGATTCCAAGAAGTGATATTGTGGGTTCAAAAGGAAAATGAATATGTAAGTTTTCTATGTACTGTCAAATTTTCCTTGATTTAAATTGTAACATTGCACATTCTCATCAGCAGTCTGTAGACATGCCTATCTCCCCACAACTTTGCAAATAGAGTATGTTGTCAAAATTTTATATTTTGACAATCTTTTGGTGAAAAATGGTATTTCTATATAGTTGTAAATTGTATTTCTCTTACTACCATGAGTGGTGTTGAGCATCTTTCTATATGACTAAGAAATATTTGCACTTTTTTTCTATAAAATAACTGCCAATATCTTTAGTGCAGTGTGCTATAGGGTTGTGTTGACCTTTATTTTTAACTAAGCTTGAGACAGTCACATGCCAGAAAGCTGTGCAAGCTACTCTACTAAGCATTGAGAATGCAGAGTGAACAACACAGGTGAAAATCCCTGCCCTCATGGAGCTCATAGTCTAGTGAAAGGGTGATGATGGCTTTGATCCATGAATTTGGACAATTTTCTCAAATTCTCCTCCTTAACCATTCCAGTTCTGGTCCAAAATTCATGTGCTTGAATCCACAGGCCATTATACTTCTGATTCTATGGACTTGCCATTTGATGTACTTTTCAGATTTTTTGTCTCTTAGTGTTCCCATAAAAACATACCTTGGACTTGTTTCATCAACTTTCAGTTTAAGTTGACTTGGATAGCCTACTTGTCCTGGTGCATTTCTTAGGATCCAGACCTTGGTTTCTAGTCGCTGCAGCAAGACCTACTGTGTAAGAATACTGGGGCGACTGGATCAGCTTCCAAGCCATGTGGCCTTGGCCAAGTTGTTTCATCGCTGTGAGTCTACATTTCTTTATGTGCAAAATGAAGATAATAATACCTGTCAGGATAGAGAGACTGAAAAAACAAAATAAGCACATTACCAAAAACATCTCTTTTTAACTACAAGTGCTTAACAATTATTATTTTAAAAGAATGCTTTATTAAAGAAAATGGCAACCCAGAGGGGTACTGGGTTCAAAATTTCTCCATAAAAACACTGTGCATTAAATTTTATCCTAAGATGTTTGTTGTTTGCTGGTCAGACACACTCACTGCAGATGCACTAGGAGTGCATCCCTTCATTGTGAACACTTTCTAGGGGGTTTGTGCCTTCACAGTGAGAGCCTGTCGGTATGCAGCCTCAACTCTAATCACATATACAAGTTTTTTCACTTTCTGGCAATACTGAAATTTTTGTAGTTCTTTGAAAATCCCATGTGATTTTATGCCTTCTTCTAAATACCATTCCTCCTGTGTGCAATTTTCTTTTTTCTTGCATCTTCTCTGGAAAACTCATCCTCTAAGATCCAGCTCAAATACCTTCTGTCATAGGGAGTCTTCCCTAATCTCTCACCCATACTCTCTTAAATTAAACATCTCTTCTTTTTAATTTCTGGACATTATGCACACTTCTATCATTACACTGAGAACTTTACATCATCATGTTTTACATAGCTGCTTCCTGGCCTGGAACTTAAGCGCTTGGAGAGAAGAGGTATTGTTTATTATGGTGTTTCTGTGCCTAGCAAGTACTTTGCCAGTAGTTACTACTCAAAATATGTTTATAGAGACTGCCACTTAGAGTTTGCTTTATGAAATTTGAAGTTGATAGATAGTTGTTCACATAATGTGATTTTAACAATGTTTAGGAAAATCCTTTTTTTGTTCCATGACAGCACCTAATCAATACAGCACTACTAATCTTTTTCTACCTAGTCACTAGTTCCTAAAAATCTGTAACAGATAGTAAAACCCTTTCTTCACAGAGGTAGATTAATTGTATATAAGCCTGGGAGAAGAAATACTTTGATTTGAGTATTAAGACAGGAAAGGAGTGAGAGGCATTCTGGGCTTGAAGTAAGAGGATAACAAATAGGCAGGAAGATCAGGCCACAAGTTCAAACTGGGACAAATTTTTTTGAGACTTTTGCTCTCCTGTCATAATTTGTGTTTTCATTGGCAACTGCAATCCAAAAATGGCTTCAGGAATGTGAAAAAGTGTGGTTTTAACTAGGAGTCAGAAATATTAATATATATTTCTCTTTCCACCTCATTTCAGGGTACTTAAGTGCAGGAGTGGAGGGTTTTACTACATCAGGCAACTCAACACAGCAAATGGGCCAGAACAATAATGGTTCGGGTAATGCTCATCTTTTAATGATAATTCTAACAGGGTTGTGAAGTTTTTATGTTTTAGGATGTTGAATTGTTGTATATGCATTTGTAGATTTTATTGTCTAAAAATACTACTTCTGTTTAAGATTGTTGGTAAATTTTTTATTCTGAAATTCTTTCTCTGTTTATTTAGTACTATTTCAAGAATGTTATCACTAAACATACCAATATTCACAATATTTTTCACTCAATGTTTGAAAGAAAGAAGGTGAAGGAGTTAGCCAAAAACATATATGCATAACCCATAGACCCAGACAATGGTGTGGGGATGGCCAGAGGGGAGGGGGTTGAGGGCTGCCTGGAGGTAAGCAAGTGGGGTCGGGGGGTGGGCAATGGGGCAAATTACAACAAACAAAATATTATACTCTAAATCAAGAGTCAGCAAACTAAGGCCCATGGACAAAATCCAGCCAGCCATATATTTTTGTAAATAAAATTTTATTAGCCCTGGCCAGGTGTCTCAGTTGGTTGGAACAACTCCTGTACACCAGAACATTGCAGGTTTGATTCCCCATCAGGGCACATACCTACATTTCAGGTTCCATCCTCAGTTGGGATGCATACAGGAGGCAACCATTGATATTTCTCTCTTACATCGATGTCTCTTTTTCTCCTCTCTTTCTCTCACCCCCACCCCCCTCTAAAATCAGCAAAAACATGTCCTCGGGTGAGGATTAAAAAATTATTGGAACAAGACCATGCTTACTTAAGTACTTAAAGTTATTTAAGTATTTAAGTTATTTAAGTACAATGCAGGGCTTCCTTGTTTATGCAACAGCAGAGATGAACACTTATAACAGAGAACATATGAACTGCAAAAACTCAAATGTTTATTTTTTTGTTCTTTATGGAAAATATCTGCAGATTCTGATTTTTCTCTTCCAATACTCCTATCCCACCTTACTTATACTCCTGATTCTTTTTTTCCTCACCTGAGGATATATGTGTATTCAATGATTTTAGAGAGAGAGGAAGATGGGGGTAAGGGCAAAAGGGAAAGAGAGGGAGAGAGAGAGAGGGAGAACACCCACCAGGTGCCTCCTGTAGGCACTGAAACTGGGGATCAAACTCACAACCTAGGTATACTATGCATATGCTGTGACCTGGAATAGAACCTGCAGCCTTTCGGTATACAGGATAATGTACACCACTTACCCACCTGGATAGGGCTACTCCCCTTATTTTTAATAAATCTTCAAATTTCCCTCTTGATGCATCCCAATGGAAATTCCAACAATACTATAATCAAAAGTACCTACATTGTAAATTTTCTTCTATTACAAACACACAGCCTTGGTTGGTGGTGAATTTGACAATGGAAGAAACTGACAGACCCCAGAACCCTTGGAAGCTGGCTGTGGTAGGATGGGAGAGGTCTGGAGAGACTAAGCTGTATTTCATGCTGTGAATTTTAGAGCTTTAGAATCTAGAATATCTAAGTCATAGTGTGATCCTGGTAAGCCCTCTGAGGTCAGCTCTGACTTCTTATCTGTTTCTGGAATAGATTTTTGAGTTTCATATAAACTAAATACAATAGTTAGAATCTCATTCTTTGTCTTCCTTCTGGCCAAAGCCAATAACAGCTGCCTAGAAAAGCCCAATTATTTCAGAGGTCTGTTTGTTGTTCATTTCTAAGAACTTTACTGCACTTCTTTGTTTATTTTTTAATGTGGTAGAACTGGGTGCAAAATTAGAATGGGGAGCAAGAGTATATTTTTATAACCAGAAGTCTTGTAAATGCTTAGTGAATGGTTCAACCCAGAGGAAGAAATCTTTTAAGCTTTTAAATCATAAGGAATATTTTTAAATCACTGTTGTTTTAAAAAACAGTGCTACAAAAGAGAAAGTTTTTGAGAAATCAAATTTCAAGCAGATTAGGACTACTCTGATGTCAGAAATACTATAAAACCCAAAGAAGGGAATGTGCAGGGATCTCGAGAATAATGGAATTAGAAATTTGAGCTGGGTGAAGACTGCTGTTTTTTCCCCTCCTTCTCTCTTTATCCTCCACCCCACTTTGCTTCTGTTTCCATCGTCCCAATGTAGATGGATTAGTCAGGATTTCTCAAAGAAACAGAACAGGGTGTGTGTGTGTGTGTGTGTGTGTGTGTGTGTGTGTGTGTGAGAGAGAGAGAGAGAGAGAGAGAGAGAGAGAGAGAGAGAGAGAGTGAGAGAGAGAGAGAGATTTAAGGAATTGGCTCTTGGGATTATAAAAGCTTGGCAAGTCCAAAATCTGCAGGTTGAGCCAGTAGCCAGGAGACCGAGAGAAGAGTTGCAATTCAAGTGTGAAGGCAGTTTGCTGACAGAACTCCCTTCCCCAGGAGGTCAATATTTTTTTTAATTAAGGTCTTCGACTGATTAGGTGAGACTCACCCACATTATGGTAAAACTTTAATTTGCTTTACTTAATGCCTACTGATTACATGTCAATCTCATCTAAAATATATTCATAAAACATCTGGAATAATGTTTAACTCAATATCTTGGACCTTGGCCTAGCCAAGTTGGCATAAAATTAATCATTACAGTGGGAAAAATGGTGAAGGAAGAAGAATTAGCTATCCTTTACAATTCTGGCTTCAAAATTCTCAAGAAAGTCTTTGATTTGATGAGTTGGGTAAGGGGCTCATGGGGCACAAGACAACTTAAATCAGGACTATAATCAGCTCATGTGAGGTGCCCATGATGGCCCAATCCACTGTGGCTAAGGAGGGATGGAGGCAGGGTTATCTCATACAAAATAGTAGTCAAGAACTAAACAAGGTGTCTCACAAAAGGGAAATCATTGATTAATAGCTTATGAATATAATTTTCACATGTTAACACATTCCATTGATTGATGAAATATCTTTGATTTGTTTTTGCAAGGCATTTAATGTAATTTAGTTATGGTTAACTGATTTCCTATCAAGTTGTACATACGTTTTTGTGGAGAAACAGTGGCTTTCTTACCTATCTAAAGTTGATTTCATTTACCTTCTCTGAATATCTTTCTAGCTTCGTCTATGGATGGAAAGCAGAACCATACAAAAGTTCCTACAGAAGGTAATATACTTTTTGTTTTTTCCCCTGATATTGCTACACTGAAGAAATAGAGTGTTGAACTTTCTTAGACACACAGCTGATGGTCTGGTCTGAGGGCCAGCCCTGTGCCCAGTGTAGGAGTGTGGTGATCTGAATGCTGTGGTGGGAGGGACCCTGAATGACCCTCCTCTCCTCCCCCAAAGCAGTTGAATTCCATTTGGAAATTATGGAGCTTTCTCCATCAGGCACTGTGCTAGGTTTCACAGGGAATGCAAGGATGAGGAAGATGAGCAAGACTATGAGAGAGCCCTCAGGGAGCTCAGTTTTATGGGGGCACACAGACTTGAGCACAGCGATCATGTCAAGTGCACCAGGAGTCTGCAGGAGGGGGCTGTTAGCACCAAGGCTCAGAGAAGGTTTCACAGAGGAGGCATCATGTGAACTGGGCCTTAGAGGAAGAGGAGTGTTGTAATAGACAAAGACTGTGGTGCAGGGCCAGCCAGACCACAGGCACAATGTGAGGAAAGACGTGTACAAGCAAGCACTTGTGCTTGGTGTTTTCTTTCTGAAGTGTGGGAGCAATATAGGGAGTCATAGAATTGGAAAGGCAAGTCAATTTGCAAAAGGGCTTTCAAAGCCAATACAAAGACACTTCAATGTTTTCTTCAGGCAGCAAGAGATCTCTGAGGGGTCTTTGAGTTGCATGAATCACATCTGTGTTATAGAACAATGGGCCCAGTTGCAATGTCAGGTATGAATTGAAGATGAGAGTTTTGAGACAGAGACAGAAGTTAGGAGGCTTTTGCAGTATCCAGGTGCATAATGACAGAGATTTTAACGAGAGGATGGTAGTGAGAAAAGAATTCCGGAAAGCCAATTGGATTTTGTCTTTGTGTATAAGGCTGGATTGGAGTGGGAGGTATGCAGACAAAGGATCCAGAAAAGACAGGCTATGACTGTGGTGCTGGAGCAAATATGAGAATCCACCTTCTATCCCCAGTGAAGCAGGAGGTGAAATCATTCTAGCTGATCGGGAGGGATGGGGAATAGTTGTATAGACAGGTGCCAAACCCACTGAGTATAGGGCAGTGCCTGGCCATTGTAAATGATCACTACAGGCATTAAAAAGGAAAAAGGAGGGTGGATAAGTGTGAAACAATAGCAATTCTGTAAGAACTATCATAAAGGGGAATGGTGATTGGGTGACTGACTGAAAGTTACAGAATGGAGAAAGGTGAAAGAAAGTAGAATATGCACTGTGCTTAGATCCCTCACCATTGGAGTTACTATTTTGGATATTCCAATGGTCCTGTTAAAATGCATATGCTTATATGATTAGCTAGTACTTTCCAAAAAATAGAGTTAAAAACTTATAAATATTAGGCAAAAACATTAAAGCCTTGTTGTATTTAAAAGCTAAAGTTCCAACTCTTGAGAACATAGGAAAGCTTTCACAACTTGCTTCCTCACCTGTCTCTTTCTTTCTGGTATTATCTTCAGCATCTTTCCCTTGTGCACATGTCTTTTCACCCACATCTAGTTGGTCCCAGCAAGCCACATTCTTGTGTGCCACTAAGCCTGTGCCAAGTTGGACTTTCCTTCTGTAAGGGGATGCCACCTGGAGTGGTGGAAGGAGCTTGGGTGTAACTGCCTCTCAGATCTGCTTTAAAATCCTCCCTCTCCTTCCACCTAGTTAAGTGATCTTTCTTTGGCTGTGAAATCCAAAGGTCTGAGTCTATCACAGAAGAGGCAGGTGGCACCAAGAGAGGAGAGTAGAAACATCAAATGCAGAGTTTAGCACAAGCAAGCTCAGTTCCTGTAAAAATTCTGCCCTGCCACCCACAGCTGGCTCTGCTCATGTTAAAGTGATGAAATTATGGGCACTCACCTCTGTTGCAGGTGAGTTGTAGCAGGTACCTAATCACCTCTCAGCAAACCCCTACCAGTCATGGATACATTATGTCAATTTATGGGGAAAATGTGAGCTTCTGTGTTGGAAACTACTTGTAGGTTGCTGGGCTTAGTTTTTACTTTAAAAGATGGGGAGAGAATTCAACTTCTATATATTTAATCCTCATAATTAGAGTGAATATATGGGTACAACTCTGTAAGAATAAACTTTCCAGGAATGTGTATAACTGAGAAGGAAGAAAGGAAGGGGGAAAGGGAGGAAGTTTGGTTGATTTTGCTGACTTTACAATTCTCCAAATAAAAAAGAAAGTAAAAAATTTCCAGCTTGCTCAACCTGTATGCCACCTCAATTATTTCTAATACTGTTTACTTTCCACATTTACTTTTGTCTGAAGCACCATACTTAGGGCTAAGCATTTAGTCTTGATATTACTGATTCATTCTCTCTCACCAAAATTTAGAAGGACATAACCACACCACTAATTATTCTATTTTCTACCTAGAGGAGCATGAGCTATAAAGTAAATATAATAGTCTCTGAGCAAAAGACTCATTGTCTTTTTCTTTTACTTGAGAATTGTGTTTTCTTGTTTTTCATTGATATCAAAACTCCTGAATTTATTTCAAAATACTAAAAAAATGCCTCACACATGTAATATATCCTTTGACCCAATAACACATAGAAGAAAATGAGTTAATCTTTAAATTCAGTTTAATATGTTATATACATTTCATGAATGTTCACTATGTCTAATATTTTTGGAATAAGACCACCAGCAAAGGAATGTTCTAGTACAACTTTATGTAATATGTTGTGGGAAATTGAACACATGAAGTTCTTTACCAAGCTTTTCTTTTACCATTTTTGTGCATGTGTGTGTGTGTTGCCCAGGTAACACTTTCCTGACTGTGTTGGAGGACACAAAGGCTGTGCTCCCCTGTCCTCCTGTACCATTGACAAATGTGGTTATAACAACATGGAAAATAGTGCTCAGAGACAAGCCTTCCTGCATCAGAGCCTACTGGAGAAATGAGAAAGGAGGGGGGAATGTGACCACAAACTGTACTGACGAGAGAATAACCTGGCTCTACAGACCTGAGCGGAATTGTTCCCTTCAGATTGATCCAGTGGTCACCAGTCATGATGGGTTTTACAGGTGTGAAGTGGCAACACCTGATGGGAATTTCCATCATGGATATCACCTCCAAGTGTTAGGTAAGGAACATACACTGTGGTGTTTCAGATAACCAGATTTGGGACTGAAGGAAATGTCTCTTTAGGTTCCATATCTAATATGTTAAGACTAAAGCATTTTCCCCTCGTCTCTGCAGTGGCCCCTGAGGTGACCCTGTTTCAAAGCGAGAATAGAACAGCGGTGTGCAAGGCAGTTGCAGGGAAGCCAGCTGCTCGGCTCTCCTGGACCCCAGAGGGAGACTGTGTCCCTGAGCATAGGTACTGGGGCAATGGCACAGTGACTGTCCAGAGCACCTGCTACTGGGCAGAGAGCAATGTGTCTACTGTGTCCTGCTCTGTCTTCCACGAGGCTGGCAACTGGAGTCTGTCCATAGAGCTGAAGCAAGGTAAGTAATTCTAGTATTTATTTGATTTTTCCATTCTTTCAGATGATTTATGGTAAGAAGGAAGGTGTGTGCAGAGAATTTCAGTCAAGGATGTTCTCCCTACCTTCTGTGTTCTTTCTTTCTCCTACATCAAGTAAGATTGTATCTAGAAGAATAATAGAGAAATTTGTTGTAAGAAGCCATATTTAGAATGAGGTTTAATCTTTAATAATTAAAATAAAAAGAATTTAATGTTCACTTTTATCTGGTGGCTTGAATAGTATACTTTTAAATGAATACTTGTGGTTTTAGTAGAAGGATAGAATATAATTTTAAACAAAAAGTTATACTTTTACCAGAAGGATATAGTCACCCTTAAGTTTTCTTTACAAAATTCTAGTCTGGTAGAATTTTCTTCTTCAGGCTCTTTCTAGAATATCTTAAATATGACATCAATGATTAGTTCATCACTGTTCAGTTTTTCCAATCTCTCCTTCCAGCCTACTCCCATTGTTTGTTGTTAAGAAATTAAATATTATTTTAATAATCACACATGTAAAGTCAAATTGTTCTGTAATGTTTATAATGAAAAAACGAGCCCTTCCCTTGATTCTCCACCTCTACCTCTCCATCCTCACCCAACTCGCTAGAAGCAAGTATGTTAAGATCTTTAGGTGTTTTTTTCTGGTAATTAATTTCATTTTTCTAAATAATGTGCCCCTACTGATAGTTCTTAAAATAATAAATTTAGACATTATGTGCCCATTTTCTAATGGTAAATGAAGATTTCACTTTACCTTCCTTCTCTCATCTTTATATTAATATACAGTAATTTTAGTTAAATTAAATGGCCATAGTTTATATTGTTTTGAATATTTAACTTTGTTGAGTACTAAATTAAGAGAAAAGCTCATACTTTCTTTTTGGATTATTAGGTAGTCCATCCATCCCATTTTTTTTCCTTAAAGGCTTCCCTTTTTGAGCATTTACATTTTCTTGTTCTAATTTGGCCTGTTTGGCCACTAGACCTGCGGCACAGCTGTTGTCCTGGGCATTTTCTTTTCCTGGATCCTCTGCTTGACTCCACATCTATTTAATCTGAGTTCCTGCAGCCTTCCAGACATTTGCTAGTTTTTATCTCTTTCTTTCACCTGTGAGGCTTTCCTTAACTCTTTGCTAATCCTTTGCTATCCATTCATTTCAATGTGAACATTCAAAAGTGAACTAATTGGAACCTATGTTATCTGTAGTTAGGTTGGTTAAATAGCTCATTTCAATAAGGTGAAAAGGTGGTAAATAAATTTTAAAAAATAATTGGGGATTCCTTAGTTATTTGTAGGTCTTATCTCTGAGGCTGTTCAGGTTCTGCAGAAAATAACTCGTCTCTTTTTAGACGAGTAAGTCTGACTGATATCAGTGTTCTGAAAGCAGGAAAAAAGAGTGTGTGTGTGTGTGTGTGTGTGTGTCTGTTCAGAGCTCTGACTTTCCTTTAATACCTCTTTTCTGTTTGGTCTCCACCCTCCATTGTGTCTGGATCCTTGACTCTGGAGTCTCCCCAGTTCATCTTCTCTGGGTTAAACTTCCTGTTTTCTGTTGGTTGTAAGGGATAGTGACCTGGCTGCACAGGGTGGGAGGAGACTTGGCCGCTACCTGTTGTTAATATAGACCTTCAAAGAAGCCTCCAACTTTTAGCTCATGCTTTCATTTCCCACATCCCTCTTTTTCTTTATTTAGTGTTTCCTACTCTAGAGTATTCCTGAAGTTCTTTGGGCACCAAAGTTTTTACTTATTTTACTCTAAATTATTTGCCATTCTTCTATTCATTTTTCATTTAAAAACAATTGGAAATGTCATCTGTTTTTGACTTCATCCATGTTTTCTTTGTCTTTGCAAGTGTACACTTTAAAACATTTCTTTACTGATATTTTAATAATATTTCAGAATGGAGAAGTGACAAGCCCATGTGTTTGAACTGCCATTTTCCAATATTCTTTCTTAAAGTGCTCTTTGTTTTTGTTTTTAAGGAGTTTATCAGTATTTAGTGAGAATAGTAATTATGCCCTGGTTACATATGGAATCTGACCACCCACTAGGAAAATATGATGTCATATTTATAGAATCTCAGAATTCAAGGGGCTGGCTAGTCCACTCTCACACAACACAAGGATCTCCTTTGTCTTCCCTGTAGGGGATCTTCAGCCTCTACTGGTGCACTTCCAATGAGAGAGAGCACAATGAGGGAGAGGATTTCAAAATGATGTTGTTATTTTAAACTGTAAAACCATGTGTTTCTTTTCTAATGAAATACCGTGAAATCCAGTGTTTAAAAACAAAATGTTAAAGGAAGGTGGAGGGATTGGATGTCGGCCTGCTCAGCCCCCACTTCCTTTCCCTCTGCTGCCTTCAAAATTAGGGTTATTTTTCCAGCTACACTCCTTACAACTTTCTATTTATTTTGAAGATGTGAAACACTGCCATTATTATAACAGAGAGATCAAAATTTCACCATTTCAGAATCCTTAAGGCAATAAAATCCTGACATAAGATGATGTCTTGCTGGAAACTGTAGTCTTGATTGATAAAGCAGTTTTCTTGTAACAATTATTTTAATGATTAATGGGTCAGAAGTGTTTGAAATAAAATTACAGAAATAAATTTCATGTCCTATGCAACTTACTTGAACCATGTATATGTATATGACCTTTATTTTCTTTTTTAATTTTTATTTTTTTAGAGAAGTGTTAGGTTCACAGCAAAATTAAATAAAAAAATATTGAGAACTCCTACACACTCCCTACCCCACACATGCACAGCATGCCCTCTATATACACCCCTCCACCACAGTGGCACATTTGTTATAATAGATAAAGCTACATTAACACGTCATTGTCACCCAAAGTCTGTAGTTTACATTAGGGTTTAGTCTAGCTGTACATTCTATGAGTTTTACAAAATGTATGAATGACATGTATTCACCATTATAGTATCATACAGAGCAGTTTCACTGCTCTAAAAATCCTCCGTGCTCCACATATTCATTTCTCTCTTCCCCCTAACCAGGGGTGTCCCACCTGCGGCCCACAGGCTGTGTGAGGCTCAGGGTGGCTATGAATGTGGCCCAATGCAAAACCATAAATTTACTTAAAACATTATGAGATTTGTTTTGTGATAACATGTTGCAATGTATTTAATGTGTGGCCCAAGACAACTCTTCTTCCAGTGTGGTGCAGAGACTCCAAAAGGTCAGACACCCATGCTGGCAACCCCTGATCTTTTTTACTGTCTCCATTGTTTTGCCTTTTTGTGATATGTTTGGGATCATACTATATGTAACCTTTTCAGACTAGCTTCTTGCACTTAGTAACATGCTTTTAAGCTTCCTCCATGTTTTTTCATGGATTAATAGCTAATTTCTTTTTATTGCTAAATAATATTAAAGCCTATATTTTTTGTGCCTATATATACAGGTGCCAAAATACCAGAGAACTTACGTATTGTATGTATCATCCTCCCTATACTTTTTGTCTTGGTCATCATGGGATCCATTTGGCTTTTGAAAATTGGCTGCAGGTATTGACTGATATATTTTTTCTTCTTCAGCTTTACTGGTCTAGGAAGTGGTTGTGATTAGGTATTTGACTGGGTAAAATGTTAACATCATTTTCCCCATATTCTGAAGGTGTTAGACTTGGACTACTGTGAATGATGAGAGGGACTTTGCTAGTTTACCTAGGCATGAAAGCACAGTGAATTAGGCCATTTAAAGCAGGATTTTGGGAGAGTGCATGCTAATTTATTATTTGGGAAATGGATCATCATAATTCATTTCATGTACCAAAGAGGAGGTGTCACATATATTCTATCACTTCCTTTTCCAAAATCCAGAATTATCTTCTTTGGGTGTGTTAACTATAATCAGTATTCTCCATTCATTTCCAATTCATTATGGCTTCTATCAAAATGAACCATAATTATGAATAGTATACTGTTTTATTTTTCCATATTCAATCTAAATAATACTATTTCCTGCAATTTAATTCAACTTATTTTTATTTTTACAGAAAATGTAAAATGAAAAAAACAGAACCTACTCCAGTTGAGGAGGTAAGATAAAAGTTAAAAGAATATTTGCAAATTTTAAGCCACATAGTTTGAAAATCTAGCCACATAATTTGTAATTTTCATCAATATTATTGTTTTAATTGAAAAGCAAAAATTTCTCATTTTACAATGCAAATATTTTGCTTATTTTTATAATTTTCTACCAAGTATTACCATATTTACATAACCCCTAAATCCATATTTTCACTTCAAGAGCTGCATCTTACAAATTATATAATGTTTGCTTCATTTGGACTTTACTCCTTGGAGAAACTGTATTGATGTTTTATCCCTTCTGAAACCATCTCTAACTCTTGACTTTCCTTTTTCAATACTATCATTTCCCTCTTTCCCAAATTTAAAACCTATTCTACTCCCTGATCTCTTATAGCCAGGAGTTACTAAGTCTTTGATCCTCTCCTGTGAAATACTTCTCCTCTCACTTCATTCTTCATCATCCCTACTTTCACCCAGACTTTATTATCTGACACTAAGAGTTACATAATCAATAAATGTTTTTTGATTAAATGTTAAAAAACTTGCTCTATGGTCATATAAGCCCAGACACACAAATATAAACACTATTGGTAGATACACCTGTTACAAAAACATAGGTAGTTTCTACAAAGATTTTTGTTTTTTTTAAATTGATTTTGACTTTGAGATTTTTCTTAGGATGAAATGCAGCCCTATGAGAGCTATACGGAGAAGAGCAATCCACTCTATGATACCACAGAAAGGGTTCTGAAGACATCTCAGGTGTTACAAAGTCAATAGGATGAATCTCCATACTTTATAAATTGCTGGAATCTGGCACCAGGAGAAATGAATCAAGATATAATACAATACAGTTACTGTTTTGATTTTCTTAGAGTTCTAGAAAAGAAGATCTATTTTGAAATCAGCTTTTTAAAGATTCTTAGAAGACAGAGAGATGTTCTAAGGGATTTTCTTTCATATCCTTATACAATTGAAATTTCAGAATCATAGTTGTGACCAGCTAGTTCTCTGAAGAACTGACATTATTACAAAGAAAGCACATATTCATGATAAAATATTCAAATTATTCAGTGCATAAATAATAAAAACTGGTTTCCTCAAGAAGTAATTCTACAGAAGAAACAATCATGAACAAGTTTTATGATTTCCCTCAGAAAGTTTCTATGTGCCTATGACATATACATATACTCATTGTATGTGTATATGTATATGTCTACTTACATATACAGACATATATTCTTGATGATACACAGATGAGAAAATGCTACAATGTTGTTCTGTACTTATAGAAAGCTAATAATACAATATATCTTGGAAATCTTTATCTTTTATTAGCACAAGCAGAGCTACCTCATTCTTTTTAAAGGCTACATAAAATTTCATTGTATGGTTGTATTGTAATTTAATCAACCACAACTCTAGTGATGGACAGTTAGATTGTTTTAAGTTTTGTTTATTTGTTTGTGTTTTGCTATTATAAACAATACCATACAGAACATTTCTTGTGGGTATGTGCTTGAATTTGTTTGAGTGTATTTATAGAGTAATTTCAGGTCAAAGGGTCTGTGCATTTTTATTATTGAATGATATGCCAAATCGTATCTATTTACATTCCCTCCAATGGTTTTTGAATGTGCCTTTCCTTATACTGTTATTATTATGCCTGCAAAATTCCCACTTTATATTTTTAATCAACCAGTTACTGAATATGATGTAAAATTGTAATAAGAATTATACTATTTAATAAATGCAGACTTATTGTCTGTCACATTTATGAAAGAGAGATTAAGAAGGAGAGATAGAGAGAGAAAGAAGAAATGAGAACACATATGAGGATTTCAGCTCATTGTATCTCTGTGGGGGTATTGATGTCTAATATCTAATGCTTAAAAGTTTCACAGATATGATAAAATGGAAATGTGTGCTGTATAATATACATTTTATTGTGATGTATTTACCAAGTAACATGTTTATTGACTATGTAAGCAGTCAATATGCTTTACAGAGCTAAATGATATGCATTACAGAGGAGTTGGAAATCTATGTAATATGGTATGTGTTAGTAGAATGGCTGTGGGATGACACGACTCTCCCCTCCATTTTCTGTGGAATAAAATGTTAACAATATGTATATTAATCATTTTTAACATTATTAAAATTTATTTATAAAAATTAAGTCTGTTTCTCTACAGCAGGAAAAACATTAAAAATTTTCAGCATAGTAGAAATTAAAACAACATCCATTTGTTCTTCAATTATGCATTTGAAACATTTAAGACAGCTATTTTGTTTTATTAACATATGTTCCTCCCTCCAGACATTTTCGTTACTCTAGGTTTTATCCTTAAAATAATTTTTAGTCTATTTGGATGTAAAACTAATATAATTTCACTTGGCACATGATATTTGACTGAATCATTTTGACATTGTTTTGAGTTGGTCAACCCCCCCCCCCCACTGCTACAATCCATTAAGTTTCCCATGTAAATATTACCAAGCAGTGCGCATGATAGACATCATAATAACCTGATTCTTCACCTTTTCTTAGTTCTCAAATCATTCCTAGTTGGGATGAGGCTCACAGGTTCAAAAATATCTGTTTAAGTATTACTGAAAAACAAACTAAAACTTGATAATGTCAAAATAGCCATGACTTCGAGATAGTTTCTAAATGCTAAATTATATTGTACAGGAAAAATGTATTAAAATTTTCCACTGCAGGGGTGCTAAATGCAGTTAAACATCAGAAACATGTGGGGAAATAAAAATTATAGTAATCTTTTTTATCCATGGGGCATACCTTCCAAGACCCTCTAGTGGATGGCTGCAACTGAGGATAGTACTGAATCACACGTATGCTATGTTTTTTCACTTAAAGGAAGCACTTTAGAGCTTGTCTTGGCTTATCTAAATTGCCAGTTTCACTGCTCTTGTGCTTTGGGCCCATTAACCAAACTAAGAGTTACCTAAACCCAAGCAATGTGATACCAAGACAGTTGATCTGAAAATGAGATGGCTACTAAGTGACTAGTATAAGTATGGGTAGTATATATAGCATGGAGACACTGGAAAAATGGGTGTCCTGGGAGGGAGGGAGGGCAGTGTAAAACTTTATCATATTACTCAGAACAGTGTGCAATTTAAACTTATGGATTGTTTATTTCTGGAATCTTCCATTTAATATTTTTGAACTACAAATGACAATAGGTAACTGAAACTGAGGGAAGCAAAACCTTGGATAAAGCAGGACTACTATTGGAGATTTCCCAAATCCACTTTAGACTTGTTGAATCAGAGAAATCTAGAGATTAGACCAGGTGTATCAGTTAGATCGTCCAGTCAGCAGAGGCTAAATAGAGTCCGGAGTGATAAAGGTTAAATGTGGGAGTGAAGTTATACTTGTGAGAGATTAAAGGGGCAGAAAGCAGGATACGAAAGGGAAAGCCATTAGACCATGATGCTGACCTGACTGAAGCCTGTGAAAGGAAAGAAGGGAAGAAGAAGGATAGAAGAAAAAGAGCCTATCACTGTACAAAGCTGTCAAAGTCTTAGCTAAACCAATGACAAACCCTGGGGCAAAGATTGCTTATAAGAAGAGTTTTTCATGAGCAGAAATGGTCAAACTTGATAACTCTTCATGCTTACTCATTGGCTGGGAGGTGTTTGGTCTCAACTCAAAAGCTGAAATGAAGGTGTAAACAATTTGAGACCATTCATATAATCACATTCTTTGCAGCTGAATGGTTAGATATTTTTTTCTCATCAACTTGGCTGCTCAGTCCAGCCTTTTATTGGTTAGTACTTGCCTGGTATGTCATCATCTGTCTCTTTACTTTCAACTTTACTGTGACATTTTACTTATTTTTCTTATTAATATTTTATTTAATTATATCTTATTCCTTATGCTATTACAGTTGTCCCAGTTTTTCCCCCTTTACTACTCTCCACCCAGACCTCCCCCCTCCCTCACATAATCCTACACTGTTGTCCATGTCCATGGGTCATGCATATGTGTTCTCTGTCTACTCAATTCCCTATGCTGTACTTTATATCCCTGTGACTATTCTGTAACTACCAATCTATGCTTCTTAATCCCTTCACCTTTTTCACCCATCCCCCCAACTCACCTCCCATCTGGCAACCATCAAAATGTTCTCTATATCTATGATTATGTTTTTGTTCTGCTTGCCTGTCCATTTTGTTTTTCAGAATCAGTTGTTGATAGATATGCATTTATTGCTTTTCTATTGTTCATATTTTTGATCTTCTCCTTCTTCTTAAAGAAGATCCTTTAACATTTCATAAAATACTGGTTTGGTGGTGATGAACTCATTTTTTATCTGCTCTTTATCTGCTTTTCAATTCTAAATGATAGCATTGCTAGGTAGAGTAATCTTGGTTGCAGGTTCTTGCTTTTCATCACTTTGAATATTTCTTGCCAATCCCATCTAGCTTGCAAACTTTCTTTTGAGAAATCAGCTGAAAGTCTTATGGGAGCTCCTTTGTAGGCAACTAACTGCTTTTCTCTTGCTGCCTTTAAGATTGTCTCTTTGACTTTAACCTTTGACATTTTAATTATGACGTGTCTTGGTGTGGGCTTCTTTAGGTTCATCTTGTTTGGGGCTCTCTGCACTTCCTGGACTTGCACATCTATGTCTTTCAGCAAGTTAGGAAAGTTTTCTGTCATTATTTTTTCAAATAGGTTTCCAGTTTTTCTCTCTCTCTCTTCTCCTTCCAACATCCCCATGATACAAATGTTGGCAAACTGGAAGTTATCCCAGAGGCTCCTATACATTATTCTCATCTTTTTGGATTCTTTTTATTTTCATTGTTCTGATTGGTTATTTTTTGCCTCCTTATGTTTCAAGTTGCTGATTTGATTCTCAGCTTCATCCACTCTACTCCTGATTCTCTATAAATTGTTCTTCATTTCAGTTAGTGTGTCCTCCATTTCTGACTGGATTTTTTTTTATGCTGTTGAGGTTCTCACTAAGTTCCTTGAGCATCCTTATAACCAGTGTTTTGAACTCTACATCTGATAGATTGCTTATCCCCATTTTGTTTAATTCTTCTCTGGAGTTTTGTTCTGTTCTTTCATTTGGGCTATGTTCCTTTGTCTCCTCATTTTGACATGAATGTCAGGGTGTGGGCCTGAAATTTCCAGCCTTGTAATCACATGGTTGATTCTGCTGTCAACCAGCTTCCATCCTGAGGCTAGTAAGGCAAATCAAAGTCATCTCATTAACATCAACTTATGTATGACTGAAAGGAACTTATTATGAATAATAAAAGACACTCTTCTGTCCCTATTACTCAGGAAATTACAAGGGTTTTAGAGGTTCTGTGGCAGAAGCCAAATATATATTTCTTATTATATCACAATATCACACTTAACTGTTGACCTGGAAGAAGATTGATTAGAAGTACTGAAAGTGGATATCCTTGTTTTATTCCTGGTCTTAGAAGTAAACATTCATTCTTTCACCATTAAAAATGATATTAGCTGTAATTAAGTCCAGACTTCCGGCCAAGATGGAGGCATAGGTAGACACACTGTGCCTCCTTGCACAACCAAAACTAAGGACAACAAAAATTTAGAAACAAAAAAACAACCAGAACAGAGAAAAATGAACTGAATGGAAGTCTGACAACCATTCATCCAGACCGGTAGGGAGGGGCGGAGTCGGAGGCCTACGGGGTTGAGGGGTCCCAGCAGGAAAAGGCAGTGGCTGGCAGTTGTGGGCACGCAGGGCGCAGGCGGCAGTTGGTGGACCCCAAAGGTGCAGGGGCAGCTTATGGACCCAGTGGCAGACCCTGGGTGCGGGAGGCAAGGAGCAGACCCAGTGAGGCGTGCAAGGCAGCTGGTTGTCCACAGTAACACATTCGTGCGCAGATAAACTAGGCGAAAATGGGTGGTGACACAGACCACGCAACCCAGGGACCTAGCGCCCAGGAATAAAGCCTAAGAGCACCAATTGAAAACACCTGTGGGGATTGAGGCTGAGAGAATCTCCCAGCCTCACAGGAAAGCTCCTTGTGCAGACCCACAGAGTCCTAGAAAGTACACAAGCCCACTCGCTCTGGAGCTAGTACCAGAAGGGCCTGATCTGCTTGTGGGAAGCGGCAAAAGGGACTGAAATCCTAGAGAGAATGAAGAAGGTGACATTGTTCCCTCTCGGACCCTGCCCCCACATACAATATAACCCAGAGATTGGGGTGCCCTGCCCTGGTGAACACCTAAGGCTCTGCCCCTCATATGTAAGAGGCGCGACCAGACCAAAAGGTGGGGGGGAGATGGCTCAATCAGAATTGAAAGCTCTGCAGTCAGTACTTTTAAGTGACTGAGAAATAGCCAACCTATCAGATGCACAGTTCAAAGTGCTGGTGATCAGGATGCTCACAGAATTGGTTGATTTTGGTCGCAAATTAGATGAACAAATGAAGGCTATGCTAAGTGAAATGAAGAAAAATGCACAGGGAACCAATAGTGATGGAGTTAAAGTTGGGTCTCAAATCAATGGAGTGGACCAGAAAGAAGAAAAAAACATACAATCAGAAAAGAAGGAAGAAATAAGAATTCAAAAAAAAAATGAGGAGAGGCTTAGGAACCTCCAGGACATCTTTAAACATCCCAACATCCGAATTATAGGGGTACCAAAAAGAGACGAGGAAGAGCAACAATTTCTTATTTGAAGAAATAATAAAGAAGAACTTTCCCATTCTGGCAAAGGAAATAGACTTCCAAGAAGTCCAGGAAGCTCAGAGAGTCCCAAAGAAGTTGGACCTGATGAGGAACACACCAAGGCACATCATAATTACATTAGCCAAGGTAAAAATGAAGGAGAGAATCCTAGAAGCAGCAAGAGAAAATGAGACAGTTACCTACAGAGGAGTTCCCATCAGACGGTCAGCTGATTTCTCTAAAGAGACCTTACAGGCAAGAAGGGGCTGGAAAGAAGTATTCCAAGTCATGAAAGGCAAGGACTTCCATCCTAGATTGCTCTATCCAGCAAAGCTATAATTTAGAATGGAAGGGCAGAGAAAGTGCTTACCAGATAAGGCCAAGTTAAAGGAGTTCATTATCACCAAGCCTTTATTATATGAAATGTTAAAGGGACTTATCTAAG